AGAATCAGCGCCAGGGCAGGCCTCGCCGGCACCGAGAGCCGCGGGAAGGAGGCGGGACCACCCGCTCCTCCTTACTCCACCGGGTCGCGGTCGCGCTCCCGCCCCCGTCGCCGCACAGCGCATGCGCTGCTCCACATGCCGCTTTTATGAGGGGCGTTACGGGCTTGCGCTTCTGCGCCGTGATATACGGGAGCACGTGTTAGGCTTCACGTCGTGAAATGCGGCGGTGGGTTAGTGACGGTAAATACGGTAACGCCTCCTTTCTGGGAACGTCCATATGGGTATATACGGTAATGGGTCGTGCGCTCAATAGGTGTAAATACGGTGCGGGGTGCCCCCTCAGCGCGGCGGGGTTGCGGCGCCCCAGCCCGGTCTCCTCTGCCCCGGCTGGAAATAAAGGCCGATCGCGCCTGCGGGAAGCAGGATAAAAGCCGTCTGCGGGCTTGTTTTACCTCGGTAACGGCGTGAGGCGTGGGAGCGGCTTTACATCTGTGAGCGGGGGTGGGAGCTTCCCTCAGAGGGAGGGCGGCGAGAGCCCCTCGGCGGGCGGTTGGCCTTCGCTCGCCGGCGGTGCCCGGGCGGCTCTAGGGCGGGGCGGCGCGGCGCTCACCGTGTCGCTGGAACAGTAGTGGGCTCCTTGAGGAAAAGGGGAAACCTTGTTTGATTTTTACAGTTAGGTTTTTAGGTTTTCGAGCCGGTTTCTTCCTCGAGAAGAAAACTTCAGTGCGCTGTTTCAAATGAGCCGGATTGCTCTTTCTCGGGAAGAAAGAAAACTCCTCTTGCTGTCTCAGGATTTTCTTCACGTCTCTTCCTGTCAGTAAGAAGGTTTGAAATCCCTCAGAAAAGCTACAGCGTCGTGTCCCAATGTTCACAGATTCCTTGGCATTCAAGCCGAATCTGACCTTGAAGCACCTATTTCCTCATGAAATCTTTTGGCAATAGGACATCTCGTAACCTTTCAGCTCTCCCGGCCAACGAGAAGTGTTACAGTAAGTGTTCTCCAAAGAGAACACTGAAACTGTGCAGACAACACACATTGCATAAGCTTCTGGGCAGACTTGTTGGCTGAGGGAGATAGTGTGTCACCCTCTCTCCCCTTTTCCAGCTGTATCTACTTATAAATCCATAGCCCTTCTTCAGGGTCTTTTTCTAGAAAGGAAGCTCTCATGAGAGAGTGGGACACCGTTCTAAGATTTAACTTAAGTCTTATTTATCTGAATACCCTGGCCGCAACTAACTTTATACCATGACTAAACATATCCTTTAAAATTGCTTGTACAGGATAAAACAGATAAGCAATTTTATAGCAGTAGAATTTTACAGATTGTATTTCCTGAGATCATATTTATAAAGCAGTGAGGAAGATGCAGTTCAGCACACAGCGGACCTCTTAAAAGCATTGCTTTATTGCTACACTGTACAAAACCACTTGTGTTACAGTGTGTCTACAGGAAATTGCTGATTCATTTAAGATCCAAATAGTCTAATATGCTATTACACAAGCACAACCCCTGCCAAATCCAGTAGGAGGAAATAATCCAAACTATAAATTGTGATCAGATTCCAAATAAAGCTTTAACTCAGGAGCAGATTCCACATGAAGCTTTAATTTACTCAGAACTTCTTACCTTTAGAATCAAATTATTTTAAATTATTTCATTAAATCATGTAATTTACTATTTTAGTATTTTTAATTTATATTTCAGAAATGCTAGTGCCCTGAGGAGCCAGTCAGGTCTATGAACTTGTTGCTCTGGGCATTGGTGCCAGATGACAGAATCCTTTGTTTTTTCAAACACTTTCACTAGAAAATTGTACATACTAGCAAGATGGGAATTGCTGACACCGTAGCAGATGATAGCATTTTTTCCCCTATTGTAAATGCATATCCTGTGTCATCTTTCTTTGATTATCCCATTGCTTCTGGTACTCCAGGTAAAATGATTCAAACACTGGGACTTCTTTCTTGTCTGGATAACTTAAGACAAAACATCAAATAGATACTAAACTGAAGAATGTTGGAAGTGAAATTGTAAATCAGATTATTATGCAGAAAAATGTTTACCACGTCATCCTGAAACAGGAGAAGCAGCACATACTGAAAGATGTAAATAAAATACATACAACAATTTAAAAGCTGTAGAGTAGATTCTAAATGCTGCAAGGGCTCTCTCTTATTTTAGTGTAGTGGTTTGTACGGTGGGGCATGAATCCTGGTTTGGCATGTTTGTTGTTCAGTAATCACTCGGAGCCAAGGAGTCAGGCAGAGCCTGCTCCAGTGGATGTCTGACTTCTAATTAACCTGCTTTGTATTGTGTAGCCCCTCTGTGTTACCCAAATGCAGGTAACCTGACAACACAGGTTAGGCTAATATCTGACTCTTTCTAAATTCTCTACAGTTCCCACTGTCCAAGACACTACTGTAAGACATAAAACAATTACAGCAATACAAATTTGCCCCATGTTTCCCCTTCTGTTTAGTACAAGCGTATGGCCTGCAGATGGTTCTCAGGACACTGATTCTGCAGTAAGCTCCCAGTGTTAGTATATGTCTCATTAAAAATAGAGAAGATAGATAACTCTAATCAACTCAGTGTTATGGACATCCAGCTTGCTGAATTGCTGCCAGAGTGACATTTAAGGATTCATTAACTAGATCACTTTGAAGTTGAAATATACTGCGTAAGTGATAGACTTTTAGACTGTTCTGTGCTGTTCTTGGTTCCCCTCAGGGGGGATACTGCTGTTGTGAATGTGTTGGCTATTTTACTAAACTTTGAAACTATCAGTGGTGTTTAGTATCTGTTGACAATTTAAATAGTCACCTCCAAAGACGTCCACACCTAACAAATATCAGCAGAACCTCTGCATTCACTCAGGAAAAAAAAGGGACATGTCTGGGGAATGTTCCTTAGGATTCACTCTGTAAATAAAATAACTCAGAACCTCTATTTAAAACATTAAATTAGATTCATTTACTGGAAAGAAAGCAAAGAATGAAAAATACCACCATAAGCCACATCCCTTATGTGTTCAGAGGAGAAAGAGTTTTGGTAACTGGAACTCAGTGAGTGATCAAGGAAACTTTTGACACATGGTTGAGATCAGCACTGCCGGAAACAGCTTCACTCCACAGTGTACTGAGAACGATAGCTGTGGACTGAAAATGGATTTACTCTCCTCATGTATAAAGTATCCCCTATACATAATGTATAACTTCATAAACAACATAAAATCTCCTCTGTCTTTGGAGCTTCTTTCTAAGCCCCTCCTGATATGAAACATATGCTGCACAATACTTTGTTCAGCAAAGAAAGAATGATAGAAGTGCTCTGGTCTCTGAGTTTGCTCAGTGGCTTTACCAGTGGGAGCAGCACTCTCTGTACTTAGAGGCTATAGACTGAATGAGGCAAGAACCCACAAGCTTTATATGAATTGTTTTTTGGAAAATATACCTTAAACTCAGAATATGAGTTCTTTCAAATTATATGTGAACCAAAAGGAAAAATTCTTTTTTGACCTGCTGGAAAGAAACAAAATATATTGACAATTACTAGGGCGGCAGCTAAGTGGTCAGCTATATGAAGTAACTTCCTTCTGTGGGTGGTTGGATGGAATGTTTTATTTTTATCAAATTGAAAGAGCTGTCTTCCCACAGCACAAAAACTTGTATTTGCTTCTTTTTTAAGTCACGCCTAGATGGACTGATAGAGCACGTGTCACATGGCTGAGTCATTGACACAGATGCTTTGTAGACCGAGTCATGCTAATTGTCAGCAAGAGGAAGGAGGAAGAGAGATTGAGTGATCCTACTCCTGAGAGCTTCTAGCTGAAAATTATCAAAACCAGGAGCATTAATAAATAAATTATACATATAATTTCTTGAGGAGAAGTACAGATTTAGAACCCTTTTCTCCTGCTTTCCCCTATTACTGTCTTCTTTCTGACCACCACAAAGAAAACTGCATTGTTTTAACATTTTTATTATGTATAAATATGGCAAGAAATTACTCTGTTCCAACTAACAGTTTAAACTTTAGAATAAAGCAGCTGATTTTGCTTTACACAGAACAGGGAGCTACTTTGCTGGCATCCCAGAGAGACAGTAGCTTGCAAAAAGAAGTGATAACAACCTGAAAGGCAGATGACACCAGAGCTGACCTTCCTGCCTGAGACCATTCCCAGGAAAGTGATGGAGGGCCCAGCTGTAACATTTAGCTGGACAACCTACCAGGTTCAGAGTGCCTGCTATTGCCCGTGCCCCCTCGTAAGCCATCACAGAGCCTGAACGCTGTTCCAGCAGAAACATGTGCAGAGATGGCATGATTGGTCACGTCATTCCGTATGTTTCTTGAAAAGGACTTTGCATAGGTGCTTTTTTCCTGATTCTTCCTCCCTGGCCTGGTTAGGATTGGGGTGGACAAAGCCTGCAGTTTATGAGCTCTCAGCATATCGTCTGGTTGGTTTTGAGTCTGTCACAGCTCAGTGATGGTGCTGAGTTGTCTCTCAGCATGGGTGCTGGGTGTTGCATGCAGAGGTGACAGCAACTTCCCAAATACAACAGTAATCCCAATGAAAGAGAAAGTACCTTGCTTGAACCAGTTCGGAAAGGAGGGTAGCCAGAGGCCTTGCTCTTGGAGCACAGATGTGGAAAGAAGCTGGCAAAGAAGAGTTTGATACCTCATTCTGAGGTAACGACAAGAGGTCTGTAGTATAGCAGTACATACATGCAATACCCAGGAGTCTGCTGGAGTAACATTGCCTTTTCAAAAGTTTTGAACAAAATTATACTAGCAGATCCATTTTTAATCAACAAAGGAATTTGTATTGTGTGGCAGATGCATTTTTTTATTCCGCCTTTGCCTTAAAAAAAGATTTACAGTCCTATGAAACCTCTATCTGGGATGTAAGTGTTAACCGATGGAGTTACACCATTGTAATTCTCAAAGTTGTGCAGACGTTCTTGTTATATTAGAGAAAGATCTTTTCTCAGCTTCATTTATATCGCTTGGGAAGGAAATCAAGACAACAAAACCAAATGTACAACTACACTGAAGTATCTGGTAAACTAATCCGAAGTACACATGGCCTTAGTGATTTTTTTACTTTTTTTTTTTTTTTACCAACGTCAAGAAATTTGTTTAAAGATACTATCAGTATGGTATATGGACATTGTTCCAAGAAGTTGGCATTAATGTAACTAAAGCACATCTAAATTAATTTAGCTATATGGATACAATGTTCATATATAAGCAAGGTTTAACAGAGTTAAGAATTTTTGAAAGAGTCCACTTCTCCTCAGTTCTCCTAAGTAAGGTTTTGCTGGAGTACAATTAAAAATGCTTGAGTACTGTGTAAACTAAGCAATACCTGTCAGAAATTAAACCTCTAACATTTATTTTGTTGTCATTCTATCCAAATTCTAATTTAAACCAAATAAACCTATGTCCTTTGCAAGGAATGGGGTATGTGTGTTTTGATGAGCTCATACTTTCATCAGTCATGATAAAGAGTTTGAGGATGTAACTGGTGAATAAGCACCTGCACAGAAGACAAGTTAGGATGGAATGCACTGATTAAAATGAATAGAAAAATGTCACTGACAAGTGAGATACATAGAAATAAGCACATATTTGTAGCTGGACAGCTCTGTGTGAATGAGGGATTAGAAATATCTTGGACCCAGAAGGAGAGTTAATGAAAGCTTTTATTTATAAAAGTCAGTGCTCAAGGACAGAAGCTGAAAAATGAGTTAAACAGCAAGTGAGAGCAAAACTTGTAAGCATTAAAATGAGCTGAATCTGAACTCAGGAATCATAAATGTTTAGATTCATTTCTCGGTATGCTTTTTATAAAGGTATGCTTCTTAACTCCTATTGTCCATTTTATGTACAATTGTACATTTTATATACATACTGTACATATGTACATACAATATGCTGTACACAGATTTATGTACAAATATACAAAATGCACATTTTTAATAGTGTGTACCTATTTTCATTACTGCTTAATTAATTAGAAACACAGTAAAATAGATAGCTATGATGTTTCTATCCCAAAAGGTAAAAATAAAAGCCAGATTCTCAGTTCTGATGCAGATGTTGTTCCTAATTAACAGTTCATAGATCACCCTAAATAGCCAGCTACATTTTTTTTTTCTATTGCACGTGCCGATGGTGTGCATGAAATGGGGAAAGAAACTTTTCTGGTTAGTCTGCTCATATCCTATATTTGAATGCAAGAAGACAGGAATTAAAGGTTATTTTTGCAAATTAAGAGTGAAACATACCCTGTAATAAGTTTATGCCATCCCAACTAAGGGTCATGAAAGCTCCGTCAGGTTCCTTAAATGTAGTACCAACCTTCAGAGGCTTTACTTCTGATTCTTTTTTTTTTCCCTGGACTCGGGAAGGACTTTCTCTAAAAAGTCAAAGCTCTTATTAAAAATACCAGGGAAAGAGGGAGTTCTCATCACAGTACAGGGAATCTCAAGTGTCCTCCTGAGAGAAATAAATAACTTGCTGTTTGTAACAGGAAGAGGGCTGAACAACTTCACCTCTGGCAATTACCTCATCCCAACTCTTAGCCTAGCCTACAGCACCTGAGTTCTGGGAATGGGCTCAGGCAGAAAATATGTTAAAGAGTTCAGCCAATGTCAGCTCTTTAAGATAGGTAGCAAGGGAAGTAAAAATATTTCCAAACCAAGAAAATCTTCCTTATTCTTGCTCAGCGTCTCCTTCTTCAAAGCTCTGCAGGCACCTGTGAAGCACAGCACAACCCACACATAATGGAGCACAGCGGGGTAAGGGGAGGCCAACAGGAGCAGCAGTCCAAATCACGGACAGATAAAAGGGAGGCAGCGCAAGAGGAGGGTGAGTATGCGGAGCTGCAAGGAGAGTCCTTGCTTGACTCAAAATCAGCTGTGCGAGAGTTCAGCCATGCAGCGCTTGCCCGCAGGTGAGGTATTTATAATCTGGCATTTATTACTTGTGATAACTATCAAATCTGTAAATTTCCGTGTGAAGACTGTATATGCCCTTATTCTGGGATACACCCATTAGCCGTGATTCATATTCAATACTAGCTTAGGATTAAATGTAATGATCAAATTTATGCCCTGTCTGCAGCTGAGTTTATACTAACATTGCTGAAAAGTCAAATATTCCTTCTAAGAAGGAATATGTACCTTCAAGGATTCCGTCTAATTTATAGCAATAAGGTAGCTGGACATACCTGTCTGCAGGGCAAAAGTTCCCAAATCTAAGTTATTTCATGCTGATAAAAACATTATCTTTAATCTGATCAAAGAACCATTTTAATTTCTCTTTAGATGCCATTACGTACTTTTCAGACTGTTTTTACAGATTCTGCCTCTACAAATGTGGAATCAGAGTGTCAGTTCAGTTAAACTGAGGCTTAGGATATATAATGGGGTGTTGGCAGAAGTTTCTGTCTTTTGATTCTTGTTCTTGGGCACACAAATTCAAGAGGGAAGGTGTGAATAGTGAACCTGAGCAGGGGCCTTTGATCTCACTGAATAATACTCTGTGTTTCCTTTTGCTGGTTTATTCTTTGTTGGACTGGTTCCTGAACTGCCTCACTGTATGGCCACAGAGTTGTTCAAAAGTAACACTAGGAATGGTATACTAGCAGAAAAAAAACAGTCAGAAGTGGAGATTTTCAGTGCCCATTTAAACAGCCTGTGCCCGAGGCTTGTTCTATTCCATCTCAACCCCATCACTTACTGTCACCCTTTTGTGGGCCAGGTCACTGTTCCTGATGTAACCACATTGCACTGTCCAGCCACGTGGGCCCGTAACATGCCTTATCTGGAAAGCCTGGGGTTTGTGTGAAGGTAACTCACAAAGGTCATTGGTCTGGACAGCCAGCTTCAGGCCGCCTCCCAGTATTGAACACATACTGGGGTGTGTAGCTTTGACAGTATCTAATCTGCTGGAGTAATGACAGAAATTAATGCTGCAGAGTGCAATCAGGTGTTTTTAAGCTGCTTTTTCCACTATCCTCACAAAGGCCCAAGTGGAACCACCTGCTGGAACTCACCAAGACCTGAGTGAGCTCCTTTTGCTGCCCAGTTCTTAAAAAGTAGACAAGGGGTCAGATCATTGTAACTGTCTATTGACATTTCCCTTCTGCATTTTGCTGTAAGTAGGCTGAGCAGGTTACACTATCATAAAGAAAGCTTCCTTTAATTCTAATTTGCCCTGAATTGAGGTCCTAGCTCTGTCCCCTAATGCTAAGAAAGAAGCTAGAGGAGAAAATGTGTTTATAAAAAATAATTGAAACGAATAAGATACAAAGCAGAGAGTAAACACCGTGAAAGATAAAAAATGAGAACTTGTTGAGATCTGAACAGAAACCAGTCCAACTTCCTCATTTATTCTACAGCTCTCTTGGAATGTGGTCTTTACACAACACGCCATTTGGTTACCTGAACTGGGTTACCAGCAGAAAGGGTATGTCAACAGCCAATTGCCTAATGGTATTGCAGAGTCAAATGGTTAAATTATCAGCAATCATCTTCCATGTTGCGCTCTGAGTGCAGTTTTAATCATCCTTTGGTGTTAAGTGGTAAATGCATTTGGCTTGGAAAAGGAGGAGCAAATCAGCAGTACTGGCACATAGTTTTGAAAAACAGACCAATAAAGCATAAAATTAACACTACTTGCTTCAGTGTTAGCAAGGATTTGCATGTCTTCTCATTAATTACCTAAATAACATGAATGACCTTAAGCGATGTGACCCAGCTTATGGTAAGCATGCCTGGCAAAGGAGAAATCATAAAAATGGAGCTTTTCAGAAATGCTGATTATCTGACTTCTGACCTCAGCTTCTCTGAAATTCAGGCTCAGAATGTCTCAGTGTAGCACTGTGTCGTAACTGTGTTCCTAGGGTTTTATGTTCCTGGGAATACATTTCTCTCTTACCTACATAACTTGGTAAACAATGTTATGTCACACAGGGAGAACACAGTTCTGGTCTGATGGCAGAAGCAGCCTGGTTTTTGTGACACAAAGCCTTACACACAATACTGGGTAGTGCTATGAGTGACAGCAGCATTAGTTTACTCATCCTTCTTGCAACCCTCATGAAATCATCAGCTTGAAGTTCTGCTGCTTTTAGTATTGCTCCTGAATCTATTCTCATCACCAATGTACCCACAAATCGTAGCAGGTTGGATGATCAAAGCCATTCACTGCTCATGCTCTGAGAGAGGGTTGTTTTCATTGCTGAAGAGGATAATTGCAGAGAATTAATCTGGAAAGTAAGCATGTACATGTGTGGGATAAGAAGGGAAGAATATGTAGTTCATCACGCATACAAATGCAGAGGCTCTTTCTCCTGCTTCCAACAGGCCATTTCTCACGACATTGATGCACAACATACAGAGTGATCAAAAATGGCTGAAACTAGAGGCAGTGCCCCTGCTCAGGAGAGAAAGCAGGTGATCTCAGAGTCTGTCAGAAAGTACCTGCTGTACGGAAATACTGCAGGAGAATAGTATGGTCAGGTAGCTGAAGGTTTATTTCTGCAGTTTTTCCCAATTTGCACTGGAAACATGAATGAAGATTTTCAAAATTAAATGTGCCTTAGTTTTCAGAATTAATAATTTTCAGATTTAAATAGCCTGACCAGCAGTTATTTACAGTCGTCAATGAACCGCTGGCTGGTGGCTGGCAGGCAAAAGACTGCAGGTTGGTTGATCCTTTGCTTTATTTCCACATGTTGCTCAAAGGTCTCAGAAGATCTGAAGAGAGAGGTCAGAGTTTCTACTTTGATTGAAAGTTTCTTCTATCTTAGTAGAGGAAGAGAGGAATAATCGGGGATATTTGGAAGTGGAGACCAGACAAAGATTTGGAAAAAAATGACATAGTGGTTAGACACATGATTCAGGAAGAAAATGTGGAACAACAGTTCTGATGGGGAAAGGAAGATGGAGAAGTGTGTTCAGGTAATACGGGAGTGTAAAACAGATTGTAGAAGAAAGAAGGATAAGAAAAAAGGAAAAGTAGGAAAACCCGGTATTACTTTTTCCAAAAAAAGCAAAACTCCCGGTGAAAAAGTTTAGAACTTCTAAATATTTACCATATTGGAAGGAGTCCCTGGAACCTTCAGAAGAATTGCATGAATTGCATTTGAGATTAGGAGGGGAAAAGTTAATGGGATGATTTTTTTTTCCTGTTCTGATGTGTTTCACAATTCACAATTTAAGAATGCATGGTCTAATCAGAATATGTGCAAATGTCATGCCATATTTTCTTCTGTTTTGCTTTTTCTGTGAGATACAAAATGTCTGCAGTGAGAGTGCCCAGTATTTCTCCTGATCTGGCCTCTAAGGTCTAAGTTCTTCCAGAAACTAACCATTCATAATGAGTGGACCGATAACCAATCCACAAGGAACAAACCTTTCACCCTTGCCATATGCAACCACACACATAGTTTTTAAGAAATATATTCAGGTCATCATTAAACCAGTATTCTGCAATGGAAAATAATTAAAATTCAGAGCAACATCAAAGGGGTCAGAATGTGTTTAATTGAAACATTTTAGAAAAGCTGCCAATATCCTGAGAAATGAATTGATGTATGTGTATTCCTATGGGAAATTATTAAATTAATTGAAAAAGCTATAATATGACTGATAGCACTTACTATCGTAATAAATGAGCATCACAGAGTCAGTTGTTAATCAGGATTAGAGATTAAATGGGGACGGTCTGATAAGTATAGACTGTTTTCACCTAAGGCAGTTCTGTGAAGGAAACCTCTTCATTTCAATCTTGAACATTATGCACCCAGTCCTAGACAAGTTTCCTGTCGAATAGCTTGGCTGAATGCAGAAATCCAGATCTACAAATATCTGTGATAAGGAAATTCACACACTTTTTCTACTGCACACAACACTAGTTCCTTTTTGCCTGTGGACAGACTACAGGATCAGCTTTTTGGCCCACTTCCCACAACAAAATAGGCTAAAGCCAATGACTGCAGAGAAGAAATGTCAAATGCTTGTGTAAGACACTATTAATTAATATGATGTAATAATTTCTGAATAAGCAAGGCTAGTACAGAGAAAATAAAAGGAATCCACAGGAAGACTGATAAGTGGCTTTATAAGAACTAAAAAAAGCTGGTATGCCATTATTCTGTAGAAATCCTTATTGTAGCTGAACCAGCATGTTTGGGTTTTTATGTGGAATTACTTGCTGTACTGGTGATACAGTTTGATGCAAATACTTTAATAAACTTTCAGCTTGATTTAGCTGTAGCAATTCATTATTTTATCTTGTCAACCCAGCTGAAACATGAATGAAAATTCATTTCACATTCTGAAGCGAGGAATCCTGCTCAGGAAAGGCCAGGAGCAGAACAGCAGAATGCTGGCAAGCAGGAACCACGGTGTATGAGGAGCGCCCAGGGAGGAAGCTGACACAGTTCTTTGTTATCTTGAGAACACTGTGTTGCCCTGCATGCATCATTCACGTGTCTTCAAAAGGTGAAATGAGGGGCAAGTGTTTTCCACTTTGGTACTTCACAAAACACTTTGAAAAGACACGGAGCCTCGTTCAGCCAAAGACATGGGCATTGGCAATACGGTTCTCATGTTCCCATACATTCCCTGCCTTGCTGTTGCAGCTACTGGAATTAGCATGCAGCAATCATGAGGTCTCTTTGTCCCACAGGCCAGGCTAACTGAGCTAATTTTAATCAGCCTGTTGGCTACCAGGAGCTTGGAAGCCACAGGAGTATGAATTTCTGGGCCAGCTCTGTACTAACTCAGCTAGCCTCAGTTGAAGATAATGCCAATACATCTGGGCTGCTGCTCACGCAGAAACTAACTAAGATAAAGCTATGTGTCCTATGTGTTTGTATGTCACAGGCAGATACCCAGCTGTAGCACATACACACCCCAGCTCACCCACCTATTATTCCACATAAACAGTTAGTGGTGCACCAACAGTCATCAAGAAACACACACGTGTGCCCACAGGTAGAGTATAAAGTTGAATAATGTCAATTTAATCGCTTGTTTTAATATCTGTATTTCTTTAGCAATTTACATACAAGTCAGAATGGGTCCTATGTTTACCCTTCCTCAGCATTATAACCACTTTTGTTAAATAAAAAAATACTAGTATTTAAAACAATATAACCCAATCCCATTTGGACAGCAATACTGAATTGTAAAGACTTGCAAAGAATAAACACTACGAGTCACCTAATAAAAGTGCTAATGAGATCACATCTAAAATGCAAGTAAAAGAAGGAAATTAAAAGAATTTGGTCTTATAACAAAAAAATGTATTTTTAATACACTCAAATTCTGGTACTTATCTTTGCTCTATCTAGGAAATACCCATCACACTTTTCAATCCTAATTTTGTTATTTTTTACTCTTTTAACATAAGCAGATATCTAAGGCTTATGATCTATAGAGCTATTTCTAATAGAAAAGTAATTTGGTGAAGGAGTAAGGTACTTTTATGAAATCCTATTTATTTAAAAAATATGTATCAAAAGTTGTGCTTCACTTAGTGTAGCAGGAATCAGACAGAAAGGGGTAATATGTTTCTTTTAGTACTTGTAAGTAAACTTTCCAGCTTATTTGCTGCTCACAAACTCTGTATCTAATCCTAGTTTTTCTCCCAGTCAGCTGTAAGCACTTCCCTGCCTGCCCCGGGTACTTCTTCGATGCCTTTATTATGGTTCCTCTCAAACGGACAGAGAATTCACCAAGCAACAGTCAGTCTCCTTTATTTGTAGTCAGACCCAAAGAAACGCACTTGGCCATGTAGCTCCAATTCTTCACCTGCCCTGTGTGGGGCCTCTGCTTTTAACACAGTTCTGATTATTTCAGCTATATATTCCATAAAGGAACAGAACTGGTTTTACATTTTTCCTGCATAAAAGTCATCTTTTCTATCTACCTACTTCCCCTGTATTATGCAGAAATCTGGTAACTGTACTCTCCATTTACTTTACTTTTCTAAAAGAAAAAATGTTTACATATCAAATGGGGAAGGGAGTGGAGAATATACCTAGTGGCCTGGCCTAAATTTTAATCTTAAAATTTTGGCATAGAATGGATTTTAAGGGTATCTGTTTGGCATTGGACAACTGTCATCTTGAACTTGCTATTTATGAAAATTAAACAGGAAAGTTTTAAAAGGTTCAATTTAGTCTTTTATTTAAAGATAAACTATTATTCATTATATTGACTTAGTAGTATACGTAACTGTCTCCTCAAGTTTAGAAAGGAGAGGGAAAGGTAGATCTGAAAAGCTGGAAAAGTAAGAAGTAGGAATATTGTACCATGCCAGCAAAAACAAAATATGTTTTGTTTTTTATAATAAATATATAATAAATCCCAAATGTGCAATTAAGACTCTGGTCATCACTAGAGGTCAATCATATTTACTGATTTCTCATCCTTGGATGAATGTTACCACAGCCA